AGCAGACGCCGAGGATTTCGCACTCGAGACTCGAGCAGACGCTTCCCCTATCGTTCCCTCTCCCTTCCCTCCCCCTCTCCCATCTCCCTCCTCCCCCGATGGTTCCTCTCCCTCCCTCCCCCTTTTCCCTCTCCCTTCCCCTCCCCCTCTCCCTCTCCCCTCCCTCTCCCCCTTCCCTCTCTCTCCCCTCTCCCTCTCATTCCTTGTCTTAATTTTTTCTTTCCCACTCCCCCTCCCACCCTCCGTCCTGTCCTTTCTTCCCTTCTTCTTTTGTTTGCCCCTCTTGCTTCCCACAAATGCAACCCACTGCATGATAAACTCGCTGCCCCATTACTATTCTTCTTCCTCACCCAAACAGTGACAAGTAGCCGATCACCAGACACCAAGCTCGGCAAATACCTACAGGGCCTGATCTCTGGGCCCAGCGGCAACGACCTCACCCATGGTATTTACAGGCTACAGGTTGAGGGCAAGGACGGCGGCATCTTCATTATCTTCCTAGGCAATGGTGAGTCAGAGGTCGAATTTTGATTTTTGCTGTATTTTTGTTCTATTGTTTTTCTTTTTTTGATTAGACTACTGATATCATGAGTTTTTTTTCTCTCTCTCTTTCTTTCTGTTTTTGAAGTGAGGTGGGTATTAGGTGAAAAAAAAACTATTATTTTTGTAACTTTTGGTTATGTTATGTCTACATCCCATCCCATTTCACATCCCATTGACTTAAACCTGTAAGCAAATCCCAGCACAATTCTAGAGCAATACATTTATAACGTAATCACCCCTCTCCACACCCAGGAGTGCGCCAGGTGGTGGAGGGTGACTTGCCCAAGGTAACTCCAGATGTAGCAGTGGTTATTAGCAAGGAGGACCTGATGGCCATCTTTGAGGGCACTCTGGCCCCCTTGCAAGCCTACCTCTCAGGCCATCTGACTGTCCAGGGCAACATCCAGATGCTGATGGGCCTTGAGACACTGAGACAGACCACCAAAGACAAAGACAAAGAGGACATCTTTGTGGTCTGATGTTAATTGAAACGGTGGCACTTCCTTTCCTCCTGTCTGTAGAAAGGGGTGTCATGGAGTGGTGAAGATAGATTTTTGTTTTGTATTTGTTTTGTGTCTGTTTTTAAAGTCAGAATTGTGGGTGTGGATAGGTTTCCACATCTGGTAATTTGCACAAATCTTTTTCTTTTTTCTATCTCTTTCTCAATTTTTATTTAAGGTTGTGATTTCTCTGGCTAGTCTTTTATTTGCATCTTAAATGGCACGAGGGATAGTAGGAGCATATTTCAAAGCAAGACTTTTATGTGTAGTTAGCAACACATAATGTTTCCTCCAGAAGAATGTGCCATTTTTGTATGAGCAGATTATTTTAGTTTTTCTTGGTTATATTCATTCATTCTCACAGTATTCCAAAATATACAACTTTTCCCCAGTATTTATTTTACCATTATAATCTCTCAAAGAGAGTGATCTCTAGACAGACAATGCAAACTCCTTGTCACAAAGGAAGTATATTGTATGACAGTTGCTATCTCCATTTGCCTGCTCGCACGGCATATAAGCAAAACATGCTCTACGTAGAAAAAAAAGTCTTGTCATGAGTGGCTGGTTTATATTTTTAAAGAAGATTGTCTTTGCATTTTATGAGATGTGAAACAAAATATATTAATATGATTTATTTCTTGTAGTTTTCTCTTTAATTATTTATATAATTTTTAACTTTCACACTTTCATTTTATAGCAATTGCTATTTTCCTGACTGTAATTTTGTTAGTGGTGCAGATTGTATTCAAAATAGAGCAGTTGTTGTTTTGTATTTGTTACTATGAAGTTAATTTTAATGTGAGTGTGTAGAGTAAATAATTACTATAGAGAGAGATACTAAGCTAAAGGACAGACATAGATGATATATGAAAGATATATATAATATATAGACGGATAAGTAAGTCTGGGATATAAATACTATAGTGTTATGACTCATTTTATCTTCTACTAGCGTATTTCTCCATATACTATGGCATTACAATAGGGATACTCACTCACTCGTATTTATTTGAGACCATGTGACTCGCTCTTACATTACTTTATACGTCACTTCGCTATTGTATTTGACCCGCACAACTATTTATCTTATATGTGTAATTTATTTTATTTATTTATAATATGTGAGTCACCTAACATGGTAGCTCGCTATTGCGCCAACACTCTCCTATGTAAGTGTGGTCTGCTTACTCATTATTCTGTCCGTTTATGCAAAGAGTCAACAGATCTGTTCTAGACTATCGCCATTCATTCGGTGTGTTCACCAATATGACCACGGACTACTTTCACACCCAACGAGTGTCCGAACCTTTCCTAGAAATTAATTTTTGCCTTCTTTCTCCTATATAGTCATAAATAAGAATGTGCATTAAAGCAAACTTATTAATATGCAGCTACTGACCGATATTTGCTTGTATCGTTTTCGTCGCAGCATTTATTTGATTCATCACCCAAAAAAATCTTCGAGTGCGAAATAGATCATTCGCTCAATGTATACAGAATTCACTCATTAAAGGTTTTTGATTACTCCAGTTGTTCCCCATTTCTCTAATTTTTGATTCTTGTGTATTTGGTGAGTGTGTTGAATGCAGCGAGGAATAAGCGCGGATGAACAGCAAAAGCAATTCCACTATGTTTTTCTCACCTCGTAGAATGCTTGTTTATGTTATCCAGGATCGAATTGGGGCTAATTATCCACTTTTTTTTTTTTCTTTCTCAGGTTTGCAATTGTAGATGTGAACATGACCAGTTTTATTTTCTACAAAGTATGCTCTCATGTGACTAATAAGTATTTGTTTTTTCACATCAATTATATGATCTTCTTCATAGAATAAGTTAGGCGATCCGATCTCGTCAGCTGCAATTTACTATTTCACCGTTATTCTAGTTACCATACTATCTTCATGTCTTTTTGGGCGAAATTTGTTCTAAGATCTTAGTCTATTTTATATAGGGGTATTCTGATCCCATTTTTTTTGATATCCTTGCTCACTCAAAAATAGACTGCGCTCGCTTTCTTTGTAATTGGAAGCTGTGGATTAGTGTCTTGTGTTTCATTATAGACTTATCATGGCTAGAAGCAACTAGTTGATAGCATTTATTTTATGTTCATCGCGTTATGAGTAATGACTTGATCTATGTAACTCTCTCATAGATGAACGATTCGGAACCTCAGGCCGACTGTTTTTTGTGTCTTATATTGATAGTGTTTGTATACATAAACAGCACATGCAGTAAGAAGAAGCCAATAGTATTCATATAAGAAATGTCCCATATTTTCTCAACTTATTTAATCTCTAAATCTTTGTGATTTTGTGTTTGCTTTTATTTTCTCCAACTTTTTTTACTAGTGTATTTTCTATCAAATGTATATTGTATTATGATAAACCACTGTCTAGGGCTATTGATCTGATGCAGGTTATATGTGTGTTTTATTTGTTTGTAATTAGCATTTTATGCATCCGCTCGTTCCTCTCAATGTATGTGCATGTGGATATTTTGGTATATATTTAAATAATTTAGCTGTTTTATATAATATTTGCTGGCACAACAAACTTTATTCTTTCTGCAGCCAGTATATGTTTTAATTCGTATCTGATAATATACCTATTTGTCACATATAATCTATTCACATGGCTGATTTTAATTTATGCTCTCTTGAACGTAGTTATTACCGTGAACCATCTCTCAAAATAAATGACGCCCCCACCCGTTAATCCCCCTTCCTCCTCTACCTATTTCGCAAGTAATTTCTAATTATCACTGTGCCTGTTACTACATTCGTGTCTCTTATTCTCATTTCTTCTCTCGTCTGTCTCTCTGCTCTTATCTTCTTTTCTCTTCTCTCTATATTTCGTATTTCTTTCTTTCTCTATCCACATCATTACTTCTTCGCTTTGTCTCCCATTTGATCTCTCTCCACTACTTATTCTATTTCTCCTCTTCACTATCGTTTATTCCAACTTCATTATATTTCCATTGTTCAAATTCTGTTATCACTTCGTTTCTCTTAAACTTGTTGCCGTACGCTCTAATTCACCCTACTCCTGGTCAATACCTCGTCCATCCCCTCCTCCCATTGGTTCTCTAGACTGTCTCTCTTTTTTACTTGATTGGACACATCTTACCCAGTGTTAAGTCATTGTATTGACACTCAATAGTTATAGGTTTACAAACTCTATCTCATATTTCTCAATATTCTCGGCATTTTACTTATATACTCTTACTCATGTGAAATAATTTTTATAACGGTTAGGTCTTGTTATTCCCTAGATATATATAATTAAAATAAGTAAAAGGTGTCTGATTCATTTTTATTTTCCATGAGTTTGTTTGAAAATTCTTGAATTAATCTTTTTGACTGTCATATCGCTGATTCTCTGTTGGTTCTCTCATATCAGCCATTGAATGAACTTATATTTCTTCCAGTGCTTTTCGTAGTATTTCTATGATTGTAAGTGGGCTTCTGCTATCGTATTTGGATACGGATAGAATAGTCTTTTAGATTGTGTTTAACTAATTATTTGCACCTGACTTATTGGACACTATAAGGGGCATAAATATTATTGCTGCAATTTAGTTCAGATTTGATTAGCCACTCTTTCATCAGATATCACAACAAATCTTACTCTGAACGTTGTAGTGCTCTGATTTAGTGTTTAAATGTTAAAAAACTCATTAACAACCTTCTTTCTTTACTTTTATGTCATTTATTTATTAAAGCCTAAGTGTTTATGGAATAATTTTGAAGTAAGTTTTTAGTAAAGCTCATTGCTCTCACTCATTATAAATTTTAGGGAACAATCAGTAAAGCGCTTTATATAATGTAATAGTGGTTTGTGTGCATATATATGCAAACTGTTTGAATGTTTTCTGATAGGATTGCTATCGATGTTTTATTGATACATTTTCATTCAAGCTTTTATGGGTAAGGTCTTCCGAATAGGTTGACGCTAATGCTTTTTCTGCACATGTAAAAGATTTGATTAAGAACGACATTTATTAAATTAATGGGTTGTTTAAGTTTGTGTTTAATGCATCTCTGCCAAAAAATTAGGTTTTTTTTTTGCCTTCATATACACAGCTTACAGCTTATTTTCAATATTAGTTTCGTCTTATATTCAGTTGTCGTATTTGTGTCTATATAATAAAAGCGAATAATAGGCAACCCTTACACGTCATTTGATGTAAATTTTATGTTGGTGTTCTTAGTGTGTTTTGACTTCCCTCAAACGAAAAGGATTATTGAGTTGCTTGCGAGAATTGTATATTGGTGAGTACTTAAGTCAGTAATTTTTAATGGGTTTTCACCAATTTTTTTATACTAATATTTTTGTTAAGTTGTTGTTATTATCTTTATATTGTGATCATTGTCATTGCTTCATGTCATACTCTTTCTGGCTGACTATAGACTCTCTCGTCTCTGCACCTGCGTCCGGCGCCATATGACAGTGTCAAAATACGCATTTATACATTTTTGACAGATGAAATATGTGATATTAAACGATGGAAGATACATTCCCAGTGAGAAAGAGAGTGCACTTTAGCAAGATTATTTTGGCATGCACAGAGTGAGATTAATGACTCGATAATATTTAGTGCATGTGCACTAATGTCTTTGCTATACTAGGCTCATTCTGCACTGTGACAAATAAGTGGAGTATTGTGTCTCGATTTTTCATGAAATAAATAAATCATGCGTGTTTATAGGAGGACATCACGTTATTATGTATCTTTACAATATACTCATAGAGTAGGTTTTAGTTTTTCGTGGAGTCAATGTATATTGTTTACTCAATGGATAAGCTGAACCAAACCCTAGTCCTACTTTATTCTTAATTTTAATCTTTACTAATGTGAAAGTCCTAATTATTATTATTGAAATTTATACTAATTAAGTAGTTGTATATATATCTAACTACTATGCAAATTAAACGTATACACTTCCACTACATAACATACGCTATATCACAATTAGTGTGTGCACATTAGTATCTTTGATTACATCTTTTACTACCACACACACTGCCACGACACACACCACACACTCACACACAACACGACATCCCGACAGCACACACATCGAACACACACACACACACACACCCCACACTACAACATTAATAACATCATACACAAAGACGACAAACATCCACAATCTAGCCACAACCCAGCCTTAATTTAATCTTAACAACAGCCCAAAACCCCTATACACCTCACCTAATAATCCATCTTTTAAACACCCTGCATACACAACACGCCCTATTAATATCCACACATACACACTACACACCACATCACAACACTCACCACCACAGCCACACAACCACCCACCCATACACCAACCTTCACACACACCCACCCACTACACATCGACCTTACAATTCATCTCATCAACCTTCACCACATCACCTCTATCACACCTATACACTACCACACTATTACACCACATCTGCCCTTTACTTCCATAACACCCAATACACACACAATTCACTACAATGACTCATACACACTCACTCAAACACACACACTATACACATCTACACACCACACACTACACACCAATCTAACTATCTTTTACACTATCCAGCACACTACAGTCAGACACACACACACACACACACACACCACTATACTCACTGACAATCTACTCTCACTACCAATACACATCCCCCCATTAATACTTACAACTCAACATCGTCTAACGCTCATACTATATAACGCTTAGCTCACTAAACTATAAATAATATAAT